AATCCAAAACTCCTAATTTATCTCTTCCTCACCCCTTTCCCCTTTGGTAACCATAACTTTGTTTTCTATGTCTGTGAGTCTGTTTCTGTTTCGTAGATAAGTTCATTTGTGTCTTTTTTTAAATTTTTATTTTTTTGGCTGCGCTGCACGGCATGCAGGATCTTAGTTCCCCAGCCAGAGATCAAACCTGTGCCCCCTGCAGTGGAATTGCAGAGTCCTAACCACTGCACTGCCAGGGAAGTCCCTCTTCTTTTTTAAAATATTGGCTATATTCCTTATAGCTTATTTTATTATTATTATTGTTATTATTATTTTACTTTTTGGCCGCACCACACGGCATGTGGGAGGCATGCAGGATCTTAGTTCCCTGACAAGGGATCAAACCCATGCCCCGTGCAGTGGAACTGCGGAGTCTTAACCACTGGACTGCCAGGGAAGTCCCTGTGTCATGTTTTAGATTCCACATATAAGTGATATCATATAACATTTGTCTTTGTCTGACTTACTTCACTTAGTATGATAATCTGTAGGTCCATCCATGTTGCTGCAAATGGCATTTTTTCATTCTTATTTATGGCTGAGTAGTATTCCATTGTATATATGTACCACATCTTCTTTATCCATTCATCTGTCAACGGACATTTAGGTTGCTTCCACATCTTGGCTATTGTAAATAGTGCCGCTATGAACATTGAGGTGCACGTATCTTTTAAAATTAGTTTTCTCTGGATGTATGCCCAGGAGCGGGATTGCTGGATCATATGGCAACTCTATTTTTAGCTTTGTAAGGAACCTCCATACTGTTTTCCATAGGGGCTGCACCAATTTATTTTCCCACCAACAGTATGGGGGGTTCCCTTTTCCCCACACCCTTTACAGTATTTGTTATTTGTAGACTTTTTAATGATGGCCGTTGTGAGTGGTGTGTGGTGATACCTCATTGTAGTTTTGATTTGCATTTCTCTAATAATTAGCAATGCTGAGCATCTTTTCGTGTGCTATTGGCTATTCACATGTCTTCTTTGGAGAAATATCTTTAGGTCTTCTGCCCACTTTTTGATTGGGTTGCCTGTTATTGAGTTGTATGAGCTGTTTGTATATTTTTGAAATTAAGCCCTTATCGGTTGCATCGTGTGCAAATATTTTCTCCCATTCTGTAGGTTGTCATTTCGTTTTGTTTATGGTTTCCTTTGCTTTCCAAAAGCTTATGTTTGATTAGGTCCCATTTCTTTATTTTGCTTTTATTTCTATTGCCTTGGGAGACTGACCTAAGAAAACATTGCTACAATTTATGTCAGACAATGTTTTGCCCATGCTCTCTTCTAGGAGTTTTATGGTGTCATGTCTTTAAGCCATTTTGAGTTTATTTTTGTGTATGGTGTGAGGGAGTGTTTTAACTTCCATTGATTTACATGAGGCTGTCCAGCTTTCCCAACATCACTTGCTGAAGAGACTCTGTTCTCCATTGTATATTCTTGCCTCCTTTGTCAAATATTGACTGTAGGCATATAGGTTTATTTCTGGGCTGTCTATTCTGTTCCATTTATCCATATGTCTGTTTTTGTGCCAATACCGTGCTGTTTTGATTACTGTAGCTTTGTAGTATTGTTTGAAGTCTGGGAGGGTTATGCCTCCTGCTTTGTTCTTTTTCTTCAGGATTCCTTTGGCAATTCTGGGTCTTTTATGGTTCCATATGAATTTTAGGATTCTTTGTTCTAGTTCTGTGAAAAATGTCATGGGTAATTTGATAGGGATCAGATTAAACCTGTACAGTAAGTCCCCTATATACGAACCTTCAAGTTGCGAACTTTCAAAGATGCGAATATACGTTCACATGTCCAACCTCATAAGTTAGTTCATGTGTCTGGAGTACATTGTCACGTGTGTGCGTCCTCTACAAGTGGTTGTGCTTTTGTGTACTTTACAGTACTGTATAGAGTACAGTAGTACAGTATCTTTATTTCAGGCCCAGGATGTCCGGAAGAAAGCATGAAAGCAGTGATGATGTAGCTGGTACTGCTAAGAAGTGCCAGCTGCTGTACTGTACTACTGTACTTTTCAAGGTACTGTACTGTAATATTAAAAATGTTTTATTTTTTGTGTTTGTTTTTTATGTATCATTTGTGTGAAAAGTATTATAAACCTATTACAGTACAGTACTATATAGCCAATTGTGTTAGTTGGGTACCTAGGCTTTGCTGGACTTATGAACAAATTAGACTTATGAATGTGCTCTTGGAATGGAACTTGTTCATGTGTAGGGGACTAACTGTAGATTGCTTTGGGCAGTATGGCCATTTTAACAACTTTCTTCCAATCTAAGAGTGTGGGATATCTTTCCATTTCTTTATATCATCTTCCATTTCCTTTATCAATGTTTTATAGTTCTCAATATATAAGTCTTTTACCTCCTTGGTCAGGTTTATCCCTAAGTATTTTATTTTTCTGATGTGATTTTAAAAGGGATTTTTTTTTCTTTTTTTTTTTACTTTCCCTTTCTGGTACTTCAATGTTAGTGTAAAGAAATGCCACTGGGGCTTCCCTGGTGGTGCAGTGGTTGAGAGTCCGCCTGCCAATGCAGGGGACACGGGTTCGTGCCCCGGTCCGGGAAGATCCCACATGCCGTGGAGCGGCTGGGCCCGTGAGCCATGGCCGCTGAGCCTTTGCGTCCGGAGCCTGTGCTCCATAATGGGAGAGGCCACAGCAGTGAGAGGCCTGTGTACCGCAAAAAAAAAAAAAAAAAAAAAAAATGCAAGTGATTTTTGTATGTTAATCTTGTATCCTGCTACCTTGCTGAATTTGTTGATCAGTTCTAGTAGCTTTTGTGTGGAGTCCTCAGAGTTTTCTGTATATAGTATCATGTCATCAGCGTATAATGACAATTTTACCTCTTCCTTTCCAATCTGGATACCTTTTATTTCTTGTCTGACTGCTGTGGCTAGAACTACCATTACTATGTTGAATAGAAGTGGTGAAAGTGGGGATCCTTGTCTTGTTTCAGATTTTATCAGGAAGGTTTTCAGCTTTTCACTATCGAGTTTTATGTTGGCTGTGGGTCTCATAAATAGCTTTTATTATGTTGAGATATGTTCCCTCTATACCTACTTTGGTGAGAGTTATCATGAATGGATGTTGAATTTTGTCAGATGCTTTTTCTGCATCTATTGAGATGATCGTGTGGTTCTCGTCTTTTCTTTAGTTGATGCGGTATATCACATTGATTTGTGTATGTTGAACCATCCTTGTGACCCTGGGAGGACTCCAACTTGGTCATGGTGTATGATCTTTTTTATGTGTTGTTGGATTCGGTTTGCTAATATTTTGTTGAGAATTTTTGTATTTATATTCATCAAAGATATTGGCCTGTAATTTTCTTTTTTGGTAGCCACACTTGGCATTCTTAATCCTGTGTTGGATTCTTCCTTTCCCTTGGATTTATTGGGCCTCAAGTAAATTAATAAATATTTTAATAAAACCAATATTATTTGTCATCTAAAATGATGTTAAAAAGCCTCTACCATGGATTTAAAACTTTGCTGTAATTATAAATTCTCCACATTTAAATCAGCCTTCATTTCAATTAAGTTTTCTTTTTTCCTTAGATCACTATTTCTCAAAAGTATGGTCACCAGACTAACAGCATCAGATTCACATGGGAACTTGTTAGAAATGCAGATTCTCAGGCATGGCCAAGACCCGTGGAATCAGAACTCTGGTGGTGGAGTCCAGCAGTCTGTGTTTAAACAAGCCATTCAGGAGACCCAGATGTGAGAACCAAGTGTGAGAACCACTGCTAGTCTAGGGTCAGAGACATTAGACAGTAGGCTCTGGTCATCTCAACTCAAACCTCTAATGAAATTGTGTTTCTTTCCATTTCAGAGGGTAACCTTCTGTGCAGGTAATTTAGATTGGAAGATAGTACTACTGGAACTATATGTTGCTGAGGTCATCCTCCTCAGAGCTGGGAAAATTCCCTTCAGGTGATTAACCACAATGTAGGACTAGGAGGAAATGATCTCTTGCTCATTTATACCTAGTTCTTTATTACTTGACAATAATTATATTATTTTTTAATTTATGTATTTTTGAAAAATTTTTAAAGATTCAGAAATGATTCCAGATTATGTGACAGATACTAGCCACTTTGAACCAATAAACATTAACATTTATTAATTAAATATTAACATTTTCTTCTAGTGTTACTTTTTACCACTTGAAATTGAAATGTTCTGTTACCTCTGTCCCAAACCTATTCTCCTTCCTGTCTTTACCTCCCTTCCTTCCCAGAAGCAACCTCCACCATGGATTTGGCACTATCTACTGTATGTGTTTTCATCACATACATATGTATTCACAAGTGATATTAGTACTGTTTTTGGTAGTTTTTCCTACATTGACATCAACCGTGTTACATGAGGCACATAATATAAACTTGCACATCACATTCTTCTGCCCTGAACCAGGTGACCATGAAATGAAAAATTGTTTTTTCCTTCAGTTTATGGATGGATAGGTGTTCGTTGGGACCAAATTATAGTATCTGCTTATGGGAAGGTATTACAGGTTGAATTGTGCCCCCCCCCCACACACACACACAAGATATGTTGAAGTTCTAACCCCTCATTACCTCAGAATGTGACCTTATTTGGAAATAGGGTAATTGCAGATAAAGCAGTTAGGTAAAGATGAGGTCATACTGGACTAGGGTGGGTACTTAATCCAGTATGGCTGGTGTCCTTACAAGAAGAAGAGACACAGACAAGAGACACACTGCATGAGACAAGAGGCAGAGACTAGAGTGATGGGTCTATAAGCCCAGGAATGTGGAGGGTTGCTGGCAACCACCAGAGGCTAGAAGAGGCAAGGAAGGACCGTTTCCTAGAGCCCTCAGAAGGAGCATGACCCTGCTGACATCTTGATTTTGGAATTCTAGACTCCAGAATTGTGAGAGAATAAATGTCTGTTGTTTGAAGCCACCCAATTTGTGGTACTATGTTGCAGCAGCCCTAGGAAACTAATACAAATGGAAATGAAGAGTCAGTTTAGCTCAACTCAATATGCCGTAGAGAGCGCCCATAACATGTGAGTAAACTGATTATTTCAGAAATGTTGGGGAATTAGTCTAGTTAACTGAATTTTCTGGTTTGGGCATTAACCAGCTTACTCTGTATTTAATTTCTACCAACAGTATTACATGTTTAAACATCGGGGTTGTTCAGTTATAAAGAAACTAAAAAAGCCACATGGCCACCAAATTCACTGTAGATCCTATAATATTACCATGTTCTAATAAAGAAATTAAAGTACTGGGAAAAACTTGCAGATGAAACACTTATATTTAACTGAACCAAATTCCAAGATTAAGAAGACAATGTGATATAATTAAAACTAAAGCTATATTGCCCTTAATTTACTCCTTCTTTGATAATGCATAAAGCACTTTCAGTGTTGCAAATATATGCTCATTATCAAACTAGTTATGGTTGTTACTCCAGTATTGTAGAACAACTCAGTTTATTCATTTCTTCTTCCTCTCTTACCACCTCTGCTGCCGCCGCCGCCACCATCAGCTCCACTGCCTCCAGCACCTCCTCCTTCTCCACCAGCGCCTCCTCCACAATTGCTCCAGCACCACCACCACCACCTCATGCTTCAGGCAGCCTTTGTGTTGCTGGGTTGACCGAGAGCTACTCATCAAACGTCTCCTGGAAACAAGACTTGAGGAAAAAAGACAGATGACTCAGTCTATGTATGTAGCAAGGTGCGGGACATAAAAACTTATATGGACATCCTTAATATAAGGCAAAACAGGAAAACAGAGATTCTAAAGATGCAAAAATAAACTGTTACATTAGTCCAGATCTGGATGACTACTTTTAGCCATGGATGTCTTCAGCCATGATGATAATGAATTTGGGGTAGATCTTCTTCTATTAGGTAAGTCATTAACTAGCCAATCATTAAAAAACACTCCAGTCATAAAATCATTTTGAGTGATTTCTACCGACCAGGTTTTAGAACTTTTACATGAAGAGACAGTGTCTTATTCTTTTGGTTTTCCCATGTGTAGGATAGGCATGGATGATATTTAGATACTCAGTAAGTATTTGATGATTTAATTCCTATTGTGATTCTGACACTAGAAGCTACAAATATACTTATTTTTTTGTTATTTTTTTTGGAAAAGGTAATACAAATTTGGCCATACCTACCAAGCTTGCAGATTGATTGCTTTATTTATGTATTTATGTTGAAGTATAGTTGCTGTACAACATTTTATAAGTTACGGGTGTATAACAGTGATTCATAATTTTTAAAGGTTATACTCCATTTAGTTAATATAAAATATTGGCTGTATTCCCTGTGCTGTACCATACATCCTTATAGCTTATTTTATACATAATAATTCGTACCAGATGTATTTATTCTTTGCCCCAGTAATTCCACCTCTTAACATTGCTCCTGCAGATACATATGTACATAAAAGAAAGGCCATGTGTAGAAGGTTACTCATGGCAGCGTTGCTCACAACCTAGAATCCAGCACTAGGACACTAGGTTGTGAGGAACGCCTGTTATATTGGAACACAGCCAAGCCCAATCATTTACATATGGTCAAAGGCTGTTTCTGTGCCACAGGGGGGAGTTCAGTGGTTCTGACAGAGACTATATGGCCCACAAAAACCTAAAATAGTTACTATGTGACGCTTAAAAAAGAAAAAGCTTATGGACCTCAGCTCTAAGTGCTTCAGTTTAACAAAATTTTACCTATGCTTTTATAGTACATGCAAATACAAGTACAAAACGGTTAGAGTACAAAATAGTTAAAAAGGAAACCCAAACGATGAGCTTCACTCTTGAGAATGCACAGGAGGGATGGTGTTCTTTTTCAGTTTGACAATCCTTACCCTCAAGAGAAAAAAAGTGGAAGGGAAGATTGCTTCATCTTTAATTTATGTGACAAAGATTCGTTGCGTGTATACTCAGGGGAAGGTACTCCAGGGACTGCAGGATGCAGAGACAAAGAAAGCACGATCCTTCTTCTTTGGGGCTCACAGTCTAGCAAGGGACTCAGACATGTTAAGCAATTAGTTGCAAAATGATGAGTGCTGTAAGAAAGAGAAGAAAAAAGTGCCGTGAGAGCATGAACAGCCACAGAAGATGTGTGAATCTGCCCAAGGCCTTTTAAAAAAATCATGAGAGAGGCTTTTTACAAAAGGGTGTCAAGGTGAAATAAAAATTGCCAATGAGACAGGTTTTACTCTTCCTGAGCAAAAGAGGGTAGTGAAAGAGTATCTGTCTAAAACCTAAACAAAATGTTTAAGCCCAAGAGTATTACCGTATCCTTTTTGTTTTTCAGGGCCCTAACTGTATGCAGCTAGATTTGTTGTTTGAATTCTGACCTATTCAAACTTTTACAGTGGATCATTTGATGCTTCATGAAAGTAAAATCTGCATCTTATTGTTGTAGGCATTTTTCACAAGAGCAAAATTTATTTTCCTCGTTTGGTTTCCCATGGGTTTAGCATGTAAGAGAAGCGTATCAGTCTGTCAGTGTGTTTCAAAAAGAAGAGAGATGAGAAACCACGGGCTTCACTTCCCATGGGCTGAATTTTCTTTTTCACTTTAGATTAGGTCACACAGCTTGTTTTGGACACTGTTCTACCCAAGGTGACCTTAGTATTGCTCAGATATGGAACAAAAGGCAAAGTTGTATGACAGAAGTTGATCCATAAACTTCAGGTTCACATTGTTTCCTTGATCACCTCCTTTTGCTTCTGCAGACCAACTCTCCACCCTTTCTACTCTCCTTTCTGGACCCAAAGGCTGACCTGCATGGATTCCATCAGTATGCTTCCTGGCCTCTGGCTTCTGGCTGGGTTCAGCCAACGAGAAGACATGGCTGACAGCAGGAAGGGAAGAGAATGAAGTTCCAGGTATTTGTTTCCCCACTTTGTCCTGTAGGACCATCATAAGCTGCATCCCTCTGCTGAAGGAAGGACTGGGGCCAATTTCACTCAACTCTCACTGTGTACAGGTTCTAGTAACTGCTTCCTGTTGGCTCTTCTGTGTCCTGTTGCTACTGGCCTTGGGGTACTTCATTGTGCCTGGTGATTTTCCCCATCGCCTCCCACACGTTTGTCAGCAATTTCTTTATGAAACTCTCCTCACATTAGCCCAGCTGGCTGTGCTGTGCCAAGGATTTGAGGGATGCAGTATATATTCCTGTAAGGTTTCACAAATCAAAACTTTTATTCTGTTCCACGGTACTGATTTCCACCACTCTGTCTTCCAGCACACTGATCCGTTCTTCTGCCTCAGTTATTCTGCTATTGATTCCTTCTAGTGTATTTTTCATTTCAGTTATTGTATTCTTTAATTCTGTTTGGTTGTTCTTTATATTTCCTACTCTTTGTTAAAAACTTAACTTCTCAGTCTCTGCATCCATTCTTTTCCCGAGTTCTTGGATCATCTTTATGATCATTATTCTGAATTCTTTCTTTCTTGAAGTGGAGATTTCCTATCTCTACTTCACTTAGTAGTTCTTCTGGGGTTTTACCTTGTTCCTTTACCTGGAACATATTCCATTGCCATCTCATTTTGTTTAAATTTCTATTTGTATTTTTATGAATGTGGTAGGTTAGTTACGTTTCTTGACCTTGCAGATGTAGCCCTCTGTGTCCCAGCAGTACATGCCCCTCTTGTCACCCAACGGCCAGCTGGTCCAGGGTACGTTCTGACATGTGTTGGCAGACTAAGTTCCACAGGCTGTAGGACTGTTCTGTTCTTGTGTCTGCCCCCTGGTGGGTGAGGCTGGGTCTTTGCCCTCTGGTGGGCAGGTCCATGTCAAGAGGTGGCTGTGGGCAGCTTCTCTGCTGATGGGTGGGGCTGTGTTCCTCACCTGTTGGGTTTTTGGCCTGAGGTGTCCCAGCACTGCAGCCTACATGCTGTTGGGTAGGGCCAGGTTTTGGTGCTAATGACCCAGGCAAGATGTCCACCTCCAGCAAGAGTTCATATAGATGAACACTCACTGGGTATCTCTGCCACCAGCATCCATGTCTCCAGGGCGAGCCACAGCCACCCCTTGCTGCCCCAGGAAACCCTATGAGACCAGCAGGTAGGTCTGGCCCAGGCTCCTCTGAAGTCACTGCTTTTGCCCTGGGTCCCAGTGTGCGTGAGACCTTGTGTACACCCTCCAAGAGTAGAGTCTGTTTCCCCAGTCCTGTGCAGCTCCTGCACTCAAGCCTTGCTGGCCTTCAAAGCCAAGTGCTCTGGGGATTCCTACTCCCAAGGCCAGACCCCTGTGCTGGGGAGCCTGATGTGGGCCCAGAGCTTTTACTCCTGTGGGAGAACATATAAAACATAATTATTCTCCAGTTTGTGGGTCACCGACACGGCTAGTATGGGATTTAATTATATTGCAAGTGTGCCCCTCTTACCATCTCATTGTAGTTTCTTCTTTAGGTCTTTGGATATAGAATATCTTTCTTTGGTAGGTTCCAGTCTTTTTTTTTTTAATCAGTGGCTCTTCAACAGTTCGTTGTGACTTTGGTGTGCTCATGAGAGGAGGTTACTTCAAGGTCCTTCTAGTCCACATCTTGTCTCCAATCCAGTTCAGTTTTTGTGAGTCAGAAATCCAGATATGGTTTAGATGAATGCCTCTGATTCAGATTCTTTCATGAATGAGGTTGCAGTGGAGTTGTCTGTCTGCTGAGGCTGCATTCACCTTGAAACTCAAATGGGAAAGACAGAGCAGTGGAAATCACTGTCACAGAACAGAATAAAGAAGAATGAATGAAAAGAAATGAGGACAGTCTCAGAGACCTCTGGGACAACATTAAATTCACCAACGTTTTGCATTATAGGGGTCCCACAAGGAGAAGAGAGAGAGAAAGGGCCTGAGAAAAAATTTGAAGAGATAATATTGAAAACTTCCCTAGCATGGGAAAGGAAACAGCCACCCAAGTCCAGGGAGCTCAGAGAGTCCCATACAGGACTGACCCAAGGAGGAACACACGGATTCACACAGTAATGAAATAGACAAAAATTAATTGCAGGTAAAGAAAATACTAAAAGCAACAAGGGAGAAGCACCAAATAGCATACAAGGGAATCCACGTAAGGCCATCAACTGATTTTTCAGCAGAAACTCTGCAGGCAAGAAGGAAGTAGCATGATATATTTAAAGTAATGAAAGGGAAAAACCTACAACCAAGAATACTCTACCCAGAAAGGCTCTTGTTCAGATGCTATGGCAGAATCAAAAGCTTTACAGGCAAGCAAAAGCTAAAAGAATTCAGCACTGACAAAGCAGCTTCACAACAGATGGGAGTTTTACAACACGTTCCTACAAACTTCTCTAGGAAGAAAAAGGCCACAACTAGAAACAAAATTATGAAATGGGAAAGCTCACCAGAAAAAGCAAACATACAGTAAAGGTAGGAAATCATCCACATAAATATGCTATCAAAACCAGCAACTGTGAGAAGAGGAGAGTACAGATGCAGGATATTGGAAATGCATTTGAAATTAAGAGACCAGCAATTTAAAACAATCTTGTTAATATATATAGACTGCTATATCAAAACGTCATGACAACTTCAAACGAAAAATCTACAATAGATAAACACACACATACACAAAAGCAATCCAGACGCAGTACTAAAGATAGTCATCAAAGCACGAGAGAACAAAAGAGGAGGGAAAAACAAAAACCTACAAAAACAAATCCAAAACAATTCACAAGATGGCAATAAGAACATACATATCAGTAATTACCTTAAATGTAAATGGACTCAATGCTCCAACCAAAAGACACAAACTGGCTGAATGGATACAAACGCAAGACCCATATATAAGCTGTCTACAAGAGACCCACTTCTGATCTACGGACACATACAGACTGAAAGTGAGGGGGTGGAAAAATGTATTCTATGTAAATGGAAATCAGAAGAAAGCTGGAGTAGCAAAACTCATATCAGACAAAATAGACTTTAAAATAAAGACTGTTACAAGAGATAAAGAAAGAAGATATAACGACTGTAAATATATATGCACCCAACATAGGAGCACCTCAATACATAAGGCAAATGTTAACAGATATAAAAGGAGAAATGGACAGTAACACAATGATAGTGGAGGACTTTAACACCTCACTTACATCAATGGACAGATTATCCAGACAGAATATCAACAAGGAAACACAGGCCTTAAATGACACATTAGACCAGATGAACTTTATTGATATTTATCGAACATTCCATCTGAAAGCAGCAGAATACACATTATTTTCAAGTGCACATGGAACATTCTCCAGGATAGTTCACATGCTGGGCCACAAAGCAACCCTCGGTAAATTTAAGAAAACTGAAATATCAAGCATCTTCTCTGACCACAGCACTATGAGATTAGAAATCAACTATAAGAAAAAAAACTGTAAAACACACAAACACGTGGAGGCTAAACAATATGTTTACTAAACAACCAGTGGATTACTAAACAACCAGTGGATCACTGTGGAAACCAAAAACGAAATCAAAAAATACCTAAAGACAAATGAAAACAAAAACATGATGATTCAAAACCTATGGGGTGCATCAAAAGCAGTTCTAAGAGCAAAGTTTACTGCAATACAAGCTCTCCTCAGGAAACAAGAAAAATATCAACCTAATGTTACACTTAAAGTAGCTATAAAAAGAAGAACAAAGCAAACCCCACATCAGAAGTAATCATAAAGATCAGAGCAGAAATAAATGAACTAGAGACTAAAATAACAATAGAAAAGATAAATGAAACTAAAAGCTGGTTCAGATAAACAAAATTGATAAAGTTTTAGCCAGACTCATCAAGAAAAAAAGGGAGAGGGCCCAAATCAAAATTAGAAATGAAAAAGGAGAAGTTACAACCAACTTAAGAGACTACCACAAGCAACTACATGCCATTAAACAGACAACATAGAAGAAATTGTACCTTCCTGAGAATTTGTCCACCTTCTAAGACTGAACCAGGAAGAAATAGAAAATATGAACAGACCAATTACAAGTACTGAAAATGAACCTGTAATTTAAAAACTCCCAACAAGCCAGATGGCTTCACAGGCGAATCCTACCAAACATTTAGAGAGGAGTTAACACCTATCCTTCTGAGACTATTTCAAAAAATTGCAGAGAGAGTTAGGAACACCCCTGAACTCATTCTATGAGGCCACTATCACCCAGATACCAAAACCAAAGATACCACCATAAAAAATTTACAAGGCAATATCACTGATAAACATAGACATAAAAATCCTCAACAAAATACTAGCAATCTATGGGCTTCCCTGGTGGCCCAGTGGCTGGGGGGTCCGCCTGCCGATGCAGAGGACACGGGTTCTTGCCCCGGTCCAGGAAGATCTCACATGCTGCGCAGTGGCTGGGCCCGTGAGCCATGGCCGCTGAGCCTGCGCGTCTGGAGCCTGTGCTCTGCGACGGGAGAGGCCACAACAGTGCGAGGCCCGTGTACCACAAAAAAAAAAAAAAAAAAAAAAAAAAAAATACTAGCAATCTAAATCCAACAATACATTAAAAGCATCATACACCATGATCAAGTGGGAATTATCCCAGGGATGCAAGGATTTTTCAATATCCATAAATCAGTGTGATACACAAATTAACAAGCTGAAGAACAAAAACCTTATGATCATCTGAATAGATGCAGAACAATTTTTTGATAAAATTCAACATCCACTTATGAGAACTCTCCAGAAAGTGGGCACAGAGGAAACATACCTCAACATAATAAAGGCTGTAATTGACAAACCTACAGCTAATGTCATACTCAATGGTGAAAAGCTGAAAGCATTTCCTCTAAGATCAGGAACAAGACAAGGAATGCCCACTGTCACCACTTTTATTCAACATAGTTTTGGAACTTCTAGCCACGGGAATCAGAGCAGCAAAAGAAATAAAAGGAAGACAAACTGGAAAAGAAGAAGTCACAATGTCACTCTTTGCA